TTAATGCACAGTGTTATCGTGCTGTGGCTTCAATTTGCATTTCTCCAACTAACGAAATTCAGCATTTTTTCATATGCTTCTTTTCCATGTTGTATATCTTCTGTGGTAAAATGTCTGTTTAGATATTTTCCCCATTTTTAATATTTTTTTCTTATTTTAGTCTTATTTTTCTGTTGTTATAAGAATTCTTTATATAATCTGGATCCAAGTTTCTTGTAAGAAATGTGATTTGTAAATGTCTTTTCCTGGTCTGTGGCTAGTCCTTTCATTATCTTAACCATGAATTATGCATGCAGGAAAGCTGGTGAGACGACACTCCTAAATCCTGCTGAAGTAGGGCATGCATGGGATGAGAGAATGTGTTGCAAAATCCCCAGTTACAGGTGTGTGGGTGTGTGTGTATGTTTATGGCAGGAGAATGGTTCTCTAAAGAAACCACAAAAGTGCTCCACCAAAGAAAAAGGTCAATTATAAAATCAGCAAGATCAGGCTTCAGACAGTAGCTGGAGAGTTGTCCAGGTAGTCTCTCTTCCCTCCTGACCCTTCAGCCCATGTGCCTGAATGGGGAAAGATATAAGGAAAAGAGATGACCCAACCTTAATCCCTTACCAGGGAACATGCAGTGCACCAGCAGCCTTTCCTGGAGTTAAAATAACTTCATATTAAGGGAGAAGAGATGGCTATTAGATGGGACTGAACATCTAAGTGTTGAATCATAAGTTTGCTTTTTTCTGTAAGTTACCATAGAAGTATTTACAGTGTGTGCATGATTTGAAAATTAGCAAAACCCTCTAAGTTTCAAGTAGGAAAGGGGGAATAAATTAATAAATTTTAGAGACAGTGGAAGGCATTGTGTTGCTTTGTAAATATAGGTTATGATTCCTATATGTTCAACGTAACTGATGTAATTTCTGTAAAGAATATCACATTCCTTTTTATGTGTTACTTTATAAGGATGTGTCATAATTGATTTTACTCCTACTCTGTGGGCATTTAGATTATTTGCTACAAATAATTCTAAATAATTCTCCTCCTGTATTTGTCATTTTGAAGGAGACTACATGCAGGAAATATTCTTAGGTATGGAATTGTTGAGGTAGGCATTGCCAAAATTCTCTCTCAAATTTTGTTGCAATTTGCATTTCTATCATTAGTGTGCCCACTTTGCTGTATCTTAGAATGAACAATTTTTGTCAGTCTGATAAGTTTCTTAAAGGCAATTTTATAATTTCAGTTAACATCACTCTCATTCTGAGAGAATAGAAATTTTTTTATTTAACAGTTAAATTTTCCTGTGAAATATCTTCTGAATATTCTCTTTGCATACCTTCCTGATAGTCTTATTCTTACTAGTTTTTAGTAGCTATTTATATGTTAGAGAACTTAGTTCCCTGAGGCATTAGTGGCAATTATTTCCCTTTATGATATTTGTAATTTGATTATGATTATGTGCTTTTTTTTTTAGTTTTTATATAATTGAATTTATCAGTCTGTTATGTATAATGGCTCTGGATTCTGCTATAATTAGAAAAACTTCTTTCCTCTAATATGTATGTATGTATCTGTGCATTTATTTGAAAACATATAAGTATATATTGCATACGTTTGTCTAATATTTTAATGTTTTTATTGTTTACATTTAAATTTTAGATTCATTTATAATCTGTGTTGCATGGCAAGAAATATATCTGCCTTTAATTTTTTCAACTATCTGGATTTTTTTTTCCCCAAACTATTTCACATGTTGATTTTAAATGAACTTAATTTTGAATTCATTTATCATATATTACATTCCTAAATACATTTAAGTAACTTCTAGACTTCTTTGTCTACTCTTCAGTCTATATCTTTATGTATTATTATTGTACTATTATCAATTACTATTTAGTTTATAATATAAAAATTCATTTGTACATATAATTTTTAAAGAAAAATCTGGTAAAATTAGTACAGCATTTTGATCATATCAGTTACTCTTATTTTTTGGAATTTCACAGATAGTTCTTACTTCTCCACAGTAAGATTTGGGCTATTAAAGTCAGGAAGTGAGACTTAAGACATTTTTATTTAATGCAATGAATAGCACAGTGCCCAATGCCTAAAACAATGTAAGTGAATCATAGAATATTTGCTGAATTAAATTGCAATTACTTTAAAATTATAGCACCACAAAACTGGTCTTTCCTCTAGAAAATTAGATAGGGGGTGCCGATTTGAAATTTTCTGTGCAGATAACACACAACTGCCAGACAAGAAAGAAGTGAAGGCATGAAATAACAGAAGCCCACAGGACTTGTGGTAGTTTTGATGATGGGAAGGGCAATGACAGCATTTCTGGATAAGTATGTTAGTTGTATTAATATCATAGTTTGAAACTCACATAACTCCTTACTAGTAAACTAACCATGAGCATTGTATCCTGTTAGATCACTTGTCAAGGATAGACTCTAGAAGAGATTCATTGATCAGCTGAATATGCAAACATTTCTCCTTATCCTGATAACAGGACTCTCATTTACTTTCAGGAATCCTGTTTTCCATCTTCCATTTGCATGGTTCCCTTGGACCTGATCTAAACCCTCGCTCCAGAGTTGGGTATAAAATCTGGGCTTGTTAATCAGATCCTTACCCCCTGTCCACAGTGGATGGTACTCAATTCAAGGCAGGCTGGTCAGAAGTACTCATTTCAAGTACTTCTGGTGAAACTAAAGAGGAGAGAAATACTTGTCTGTCACACACACACACTGTGAGAATGTAGGACTGGAGGGCTGGGGGTCCATCATGTTGCAGGATGTTGTCTGAAAATGAAAGTAAAGCACAAAGAAGGATAAATCAGCCCAGTGGGAGAGGTTACTGCTCCAGATGTCATCATTTGAACCCCTGGATCCAGCTTTGAGTTTTCATTTATGTATGCCAGTAATGTCCATCAAAAAAGACTCAAGCTTGTACGACTTGAATTTTTTTCATTTGCAACTGAACACCTTGACCAATACACACTATTCTTAGGATCATGTTTGAAATAGTTCTTGAGCTATTTTGTTCATTCAGGTTTGTGTGTTTGTGTGCATGTGTGTTTGTTTTCTTTATGAAACAGATTGTATTTTTTTCCTAAGTACTCAATAGAGTACTCTGAACATCCTGGCAATGATGTTGGCTCTGATGGAGTTACACAAGATACTTGCCTACATCACTTATTTTAAGAAATTTGTATAGGTTTTCCCTTTTTCCCCCAGAGATTTACATAAACTTTTCATATCCCTTATAGGAATTTGATGAAACATAAAGCTGACAATTCACACCTTAAAATTCAACACTGTGAAACTTATCTTTTTTTAGAGTCAATTCTCCAGTTGGGTGCAGAAGAATCTTAAAATATTTAAAAACTTGTTAAAGTCTCCAGAAAAATATATATAGCAGCAGCATTCAGGAAAGTAGAGAGAGGAGTAGATAAATTTTCAATCTTATGTATAGAAACCATTCCCACTACCCTTGGCCCATTGGTTGATCTTTCATGCATGGCAACATGAGGAAGGACTAGGGAATAAAAAAAAAAAACGGAAATAGAAGTGAAACTGTACCAGAGATGCTGGCAAAAGAACAGTGTTTGGTGTCTTAAAATCTGACAGCAGTTTAGAGCAATACCACATGACTTATGATGGTAGTATGTGTTTTCCATGTGCTGGTGGTCAGAGATTTCTCAAATTTGTTCAACTACATTTACTACTGAGGACTAGCTGTGCTAGACTGTTACTGCAATGTCCAGGAGACATGTGACTTGTAGGCTGCATAAAAGAATAGCAAAAAAAGAAAACAATGGGGCATTTACTGATTTCCAAAATGGCATGCAAGATATGCAACTGGGAACATGTGTTAAAAACATTATATTTGTTCTTACTTCTGAATCATAAAATACTGCTTTCCTATGACCCTGCCTTGGTGCTTTTGCTCTCTAGGCAACCTTTTATTCAGTGACAAAGGTACAGACGACATCTGCCATGTTCTTTGAACCAGTAAAAACAGTCATTTGAAGAAAAAAGGAAATGAAAAATAATGAGCAAGGATGATTGTTTTTTTTCCATTATCTTTTGTTTAAAATTTTATTTCCCTTGGTCTCAGGTGCATTGTTTGCACTATGAAGTAATTCATTCTATGTCATCAAGTGATAACTGTGCACCTGCCAACTATCATAGCGAAGACAGAGAAGACCCACACCCCACATTAACTGTTCTCTGACAGATAACCACATCAAATCTTTATTTTATCTTGGACCTGTTTCAGCAAAGAAGCAGTGATTGTGTGGTTCTGTTTGTGAAAAGTCTGCATTTGTATGCTTTAGGGTTTTTGTATGTGCTATTTATATCTTGAAAGCTTACATAGGTAAATTTATATTACAAGTTAAAGATTCCTTGAAAAGTCAGTGTCTTCACAGGATGCTCTGTAGACTGTTAATTTTCACTCTTTAATATATTGTATTGTGCTTATGGAGATTTAAAGGATAAAAGTATCATAAGTGAGAAAATTACAACATTGAAAGTAGGATACCTTTATAATTATTAGTGAGACAGTTTTTCTGTTTTAATTTCTTATGCTACCTAGATTGGGAGCCCTTTCATAATGAAGGCATATAGGAGTAAGTTGGGATTACACGGGAAATGAATAAAGAAGAAGAGCTCCTTTCTATTTAAAGCATTAGAGCATTCTGTCCACTAGAGTTTCCTCCCTGGTCCATATTATGATCCTGAGAAAGTGTCCCAGGAAAAGGTGTGGTCACGAGAAAAAGTCCTCCTTGTTTACAGAAGTGCACGTGCACTTGTCTCATTTCCTCAGGTCACCCAATTTTCAGTTATTACTCACTTTCATAAAGTTCATGAAGACTTTCAAAATATTCCAGCCGTGGAAGAGAAAAATGATCTTGACTAAACTAGGAGAAGATCCACCCTCTATGAGTAATCTCTTTAATAAGGTTTCTTCATTCTGCAGGCACAGTGACTAATACTGAATCCACAGATTTATCTATATGCCAAATGGGAATACAAGGGACATAGGAGAAAGACTTATTTTTTTCCTGAGGAGATACTTTCTTTAGTCTGCTACCAGCAAGCAAAGAAGAGAATGCAACTGAATCATGATCATTTTGGAAGCTCCAAACAAATGCAAACAAACAAAAACCAAAGCAACTATAATTTCTTTTATGAATGCGTAGAATAATTTACAGGTAACGGGGAAAATTTCTTTTTAACCAAGATAAAATTTGAAAAACTGTTAAAGGATTATGTTTATCTTAAGTAATTATAGAAGATGAGTACAGGTTATGCAAAGAAAAAGATTTTGACTTAGCATTATCTGAAGATTTTTAGCAGGATTGCTCAATGTAAAAAGTAAGTTTCTTGATAGAATTTTTCAAATGTTAGATGGATCAGTCTTCAGAGAAATGCTCCATGAATTCTTACATGAAATGAGTTGTCTCCTTTAAAAATAAAAGTGCAAATTTCTAATGTTTATTGCATCCCTGCCATGTCCAAAAATATCATTTAATCAGTTTGTGTAAGTTACCTCAGGCATCCTCCCAACTCCTAGATGTGGTAAGGAATGTACTGAAGAAGAGAAAGAATAGAGATTGGGCAGAGGGGGGTGTTGGGTTCTGCACTGTCACCACAACACCTGAGCCAACTCTGTGGACTCAAGGTGAGATGGCCCTTTAGATATTCCTGATTTGAGGGAGGGGGCAGCATCCATCATTATTATTCCCATGTGGATCACTGGTAAATGGCTATCTCAAGAATGACGCTCGGGGTGGTAGCTTCATTCAGCTCAGGTGACTCTCAGTGGAGCTTGATGACTAGCACCTGAGTGAATTTATCCCTCAGTCATGAAAGGAGCATCTGACCTTGGTTCACAGGATCCATGACACTAGCCCAGTAGCTTAATGGTCCACCAAAGTATTGCTAGTCACGTCCCTTCCACGGACTATCTTAAAGTACATTTCTTCAGCTCCCCTTAGTTAAAAGAAACCCCCTTAAATTAACACTATATGTTATTGCTGGCTCATTCTTTTTGGTGACATTTCAGGCTGTGTACAGTGAGTATCATAGCCTGAGGAGACCTGGTTAAATTTCATCGTTTAGCTGAGTCTCCTGCCACAGGTTCACTTAACAAATATCTATCAACTCTAAGTGCCAAGTATTTTTCTAGGCACTAGAAATAGTGGGGTTGGGGGGAATCACGGACCGTACATCAGTGGTATTTCTTCAGTGACTGAGTGACAGGATGGGGAAATAAATAACACCTCTACTTTTTTTCATACTTAGTATGAACCAAGCACAGTTTTGAATTTTTTGCATACATTAATGCTTTTAACTCTTGTAACATTGCTGTGTGACAGGCACTACTAAAATTTAAGAAGCTGGCACCAGAAGGTTATAGAACTTCTGGGAACCACTCAGGAAACATGTTGCATTAGGCATTCAGACTCTTAAGTGTTTTCCTCCGAAGTCTATTCTCTGATCCACACATAACTAATTGTGACCAGTTATGCTTCATTGTGCTTATGAAGGCTTTTGGAAGATGTCTGGGGCTGAGTCCCTCATCCAGAGATGAAAACAAGTGATTTACCAGGCATTATAAAATAATTACTAAAAAAGGAATCCACAGAGTTTTGACTTTTTTTTCACAGTATCTGAATAGCTTTATGTAGTTTAACCCATTTATATTAATCATTTATCTCTAAAAATATTTGGGTGTGATATTTCAGGAAATACTCTGGCTGCCTCATCTGACACACATGATTGTCTTTTGGTGCTGGGATCTGAGACAGCACAGACACCCCAAAACTGAGGTCACCTTAGCATGATGCTGCATTAGGGTGAGGAAGTCCTCCTGATTCTTCATGTCTGGCGTTTCCTCAGTGTTGGCACTGACGACCCACGTCCTGGGAACTTCCTCAGTCCGGAGCAAACGAGAATGGTTTCATACTCTCTGCTCTACCTTCATTCTTGTTGCTGGTTTTATTGCCCCCTCCATCACGGGGAAGATATTTAAGTCCAGTTGATTGACTTCAAGTAGAAAATGGAGGGGAAGAAGGGATACACTGAGAACTGTCCATTTGGACATCCTTCAGGAAGAGGGGTTGAGAGTGAGGAGGAGGAGGACTTTGGGACCCCCAGGTCCTACACTACCGGCTTTGTGCGCTCCCTGCGGGAGTGTTGGCTGGAGCCCAGCTGAGTGCACTCCTGCACCCAGGAATTTCTAGAAATGGCCCGTAGCACTTCCTGCTTCCCCACATTTCTCACGCCTCAGTCTTCTAGACTCAAAAAAAAAAAAAAACAAATACAACTTAATGATTTTTTTTTCCATTTCTGCCTCCTTACTAAGCATCAGTAGTTAGGATTATGCCTGCCTTTAATAGTTGGTCAGAAGTTTTCAGAAAAATAGTTCAGATCATGGGATTTTATAAGCCCTGTTTTATTGTAACTTGCTATATTCAAAATAAAGCAAAAAAAAAGATGCATTTATTTAAGCTGTGTGATGTCAAAAATGATTTAATGATTTTAATACCTTATTAAAAAATCAAAATATATTAGGAAACATTCTTGTCAACATAATAGGAATTTTTGTTAAAGAATGTTGAAAGGAGTGTTTCAAGCCAAAAATCAATAAAAACATAGGGAAGATGAAAGATGACTAATGAGAAAATCAAGCCCTTTACACTTTGATGAATGCCGTTCGAATGTGTCAAAACTTGCAATGTATTACCAAATAAAAAAGAGTATGGAACATAAAGAAAATCTAATTAGGGAAAAAACATACAACAATACAGTCTACTTGAAAATGGCTGGTGAGATAATTACACTGAACAGTCAAAGAAGAGCGAAGTTCTGAAGTTTTTACTTGTTTGTATCAGTGATCTAAGGAAAGTGGGGACTCAGATACCAGAATTAGGTACACATTGGAATGTCTTTATTTTAATTTATGTTAAAGAGTAACAGAAGTTCTGCTCTCCTGATAATTTCTCTTAAGCTATTATACATGGTTATATTTACTAACTGATGATTTACATATCTTAGAGGATAAATGAGTTCAAATACATGTATTTAGCATTGTTCTTTCATTATACTTACAGACCAATTGCAGTTGGATGCAGAAGTTATGGGAAATCTGAATGCCTTCCTTACACTAAATCGTTAGAAACACTGTTTTTCTTTTATCATATATTATCATATTATTGTCCCACATACAAACAAAATTGTACCTTGGGGTTCTCCTCTCTGGTTGCTTCCAAAAAGGTATAAACTTTGGCATACACACAATATTCCAGACCGTCAGGATGACTGTGATATTTTTAATCTTAGATTCTTGATTTTTGGATTCTGGGTCAGCGTAACCTATTTTTCGAGTTTGGCCAGAGTTCTGTTCAAGTTCCTTCTGCCAGTGAGGCTTCAATCTCACTGAAGTCTAAGCAAACTATTGAGAGTGTGCTCTGATTTCTTTTTGTCACCTGTAGTAAAATGTGAGAGGAAGGAGATACATGGAGGAAAGAACTGTTAAGCAAAAGAACTGAGACATGACAATTTGGAGAATTCTCAGGTTATCTAGATTGTAAAGCATGAAAAAATTAATTTATTATTAGACAAGGATGGAGAGAGTCAGATCTGTGGCTAGACAATCGTTTTATAATGCCTCAGGAGGATTAGAAGTTCAGAGTGTTCAGTCACACAAAGGGCTTTGTGAGATTAGATGTGTAACATACAGATCCTCTCAGCCATCTCAGCAGAAGCTAGGAACACATACAAGATTACCCAGGAAAGGTCTGTGGGAGAAGTTTTGGTCTAACATAGTGAGTTCATGTGAGATACGTGGGAGACACACAAGATATTTGAAATGTTTATAGAAGAAGAAAATACTGCCAACTTGTACTAAAAGGGACAGAGAGAAGACGAAATGAAAGAAGTTTGTCAGGCTGTCAAAATTCTGTGGGTAGGAAACAGGATGATAAAATCACTAAACTTCAAACACATTCTCCCCTTCATGAAAAGGAATAATGACTCTAAGAACAGAACTGTGAGCCCAGTAGGTGGAACCTTCAACAGAAAAGAATTATTCCCAGGCCTTGAAACCTAATACTGTTTTCCTAGCTGGACTTTGAAATTGCTTAAGACAAGTGACTCCTTTTTTCTTTTTGTTTTCTTCCTTTTTGACTGGAAATCTCTGTAACTGTTAACCCATTCCTATACCACCATTCTATTTGGGGAGCAGGTAACTTGTTTACGAGACTCACAGGTCCACAAGCGGGGAGAAATTTTTCTTTAAGAATGGATTATACCCATACTCCTATCTATGCCTAATTTAGTTGAATTAAGTAGTAACATCTGGGACTTTTGATATGAGGTTTAAAACTTGAGCTGATGCTCTAATTGGTTGAGTCTTCTGGTGTCCGTGGGTGGGATGAGTGTGTTTGCACGTGGGACGGATGTGAATCTTTTTGGTGTCAGATGGTGGGTTGCTGCAGACGCAATAACGGCCCCATAATATGTCCCTGCCTTACGCGGCGTTCACAGGTTCTGCTGGTTAACATGGCAAAGGGGGGTTAAGTTCGCAAATGGAATTAAGACTGCTAATAAATTTATATTAAAATGAAGAGATTATCCTGGATTAAAATGAGGAGGGGGAGGAAGGCGTGTCAGTCATCAGAGTGATGCAATGTAAGAGAGATTCTACATTTATTGCTGGCTTTGAAGATATAAAGAGGCCATAAACTAAGGAAGGCAGGGGATTGGATTCTTCGCAAAGCCTTCAGGAGGAATGTGTATTTACCTATGACTTCAATTTTGGCTGAGACACCTATTTTGCACTTCTGAACTCCAGGACTATAAGAAAATGTATGTCATTTAAGCCATCAAGTTTGTGGTAATTTGTTACAGCAGTGATAGGAAACTAGTGCATGCCCTTCAGATAGTGCTCGGGTTTTGTTTGTTTGTTTTTAATTTTCATCAGTTAAATAGTTGCGCCAGTGAGAGGATTCACCAGAGATCCTCACTCTGCCGTTTTAGAAGCCCCTCTCTTGAAATGTATGTCTTCGTGTTTGAAAGCTACTGTTTGCTGATAAAGAGGTCTAAATAAACAGTTACCCCTGCCCTGGCACTTTAACGTGCCGTTCCGTTGCCTGGCAAATCCTTACATTTCTTATTGTTATTGCAAACAGTCTACTATAATTCTGATTTTCCTTCTCTGGTGCTTTAAATATATGTTCTTTATCTTTGGCTCTCGAAAGTTTGATAGAAATGTGCTTAGGTGGGGGCGGTGAGGGTGTGCGCGCGTGTGTGCTGTGTTTATACTTTTGCTGTTTGCTGAGCTACTAGGATTTGTAGTTGGGAGTCTTCAAACAGTTCTTATGCTTTATTCTATTTGCCTTTTACTCCTGGGACTTTATTTTCAAATATATTAGATTGTATCTTGGAACTCATTTTATTTTTCACTTTGTTTTACCTCCTTGTGCTTCTCTGTGTGTTCTTTCTATTGACCTATTTTCACGCTCAGTGATTCTTTACTATGTTGAGTTTATTGATGTGCCCATCAAAGGTGGTACACACTTCTATCACCAAGTTTTTCCCTTTGATTATTTCTTATGTTTCTCTTGCCCCATCTATCTATGCATGTTGCCTGCCTTTTGCTCCACAGACTTTTATGTATTAATCATTAATCAATAAAAAGAATATAGAGTGATTTAAAATTCTCTGTCTGAGAGTGCCAATATCTGGGTCTTTTGAGGCTCGTTCTATTAGTCCCTGAACAGTGTGCTGTGTTTTGCTTGTATTTTGTATTTCTTGTGGTTTCGAGTTGACCACCAGACATCTTGTATAGGAGCACGGAGACTGAGGTATAGAGACCTGGAAATGTGAAACTTCTTTTCTTGCCAAGTTGAGGTTTTCTAGTCAGAAGGTGAGCCACGTTGTTGTTGTTACGGTTACCCTTATTGTACCACCAACTTCAAATTTTTCTACCTTTGCCTTTTGTTTAGTGTGAAGACTGGTTTTCTGGAAGATTTCATCGGTGTCTGCTCCGTTCTCTGCTTTAGGTCTTCTCTTTGCACTTGTGTGTTAGATGTTTCTTCACAGCATCACCCCTCTCCACATAGTAGACTGCTGTTATCTGTCATGCAGCTCTTGACGATCTGGGAGAGGGAGTGAAAGGCACGGACATTCCCTGGTGTTTGGGGTCAGCCTTGGTCTTAGGCGGACAGTGTGCGGCCAGTCTCAAGGATGTGAGGATCTCCTCCTCAGTGATCCTGCTCTTTCCCTAGTGGATATTCTCTAATACCACGAGTCCTGAGTGTTTTGTCCCCTTCCGCATAAGTAGAGGTGAGTTTTTATTTCCTACTCCTAGATGCAGGGGTCTTCCACCGATATCCTGAGAGCAATTTATTTTACTACTTTACACCAGGGGCTTAAACTTTTGTTCTAAAGGGACAACAGGGGAGGCTTTGAGTGGGGCTTTATGCCCTTCCTGCATGAAAGTCCCGTCCCCTTGACACACATCATCAGGGGCTCTCCTGTCTCTTACTTTGACTAATTTTTCTCATGATCACCTCTTGAGAAAATACTGCAGATGGTCATAAATTACCTTTATGGCTTTCAGCTCCTGGAAGCTCTGGCCTCTCATACTAGCCCATACTCATTATTTAGCAATTGGTTTAAGTTTTAGCTGGATTCTTCTTTCTTGCCCTTCAGCTTCTACATCTGCCCCAGGTAACTAAGTGCTCTGTCCTCTCTCTCTTTGGAAGATCCTATCTTTCCACAGATTTTTGGTTTGTTGCCCTGTGATCTCAGTTCCCTAATGAGTTCAAGGAAATGTTGGTTTGTAGATCCAGCTTTTTATGTTTTTTTTTTGGGAAACAGTGCTCTTCCTAGTATTGTACATACTAAGTA